TTCGGCCTATGGTAGTGGGTAGTCGGTGTAGCCAGGACTACAAGCGGGAACAATGCACGTCTTCTCTGATGGGTGGGGGGTGGAGAATCCAGCCTAGAGAGACGAGGACACATAAAATAGTATTTAAACGTATCTAGAGGCCAGCTGAGCACGGCCCTGTGTCACACTTGGGGTCTGCTGATGGGATCCCATGGAAGTGAAGGAGGGTGGAAGTCACACCTTTGCTGAGGCTTCCTGCAAAGCCTGTTTAAAGGGACGTTGGACACGTAATGGGACCCACAGAAACCATGTTAGAAGTACATGAAGGTCCCAAGTGAAGCACTCATGGGTTAGGAAGTGCTGGGGTAAGGTTGCTTGTGCAATGCTCAGTCGCTCTGTGGGGATGGCGCACGCGCAGTCCAGCACACACAACCTAGGAGGGTCTGGAGCATGCGTGGCACAGACAGATTCCTTGAATACCTGATCGGCGAAGCTGCGAGAGTCTAGTGAGCATGTGCACATTTAGAACTGTCAGAGGGTTCTCACTTGGCCAGATTTGGGTGGATTTTCACAGGAACAATAAAAAGCACATCCCTGGCTCAAAGGGCCCACCTCTTACTGCCAAATTTCCAGTCCCTGCCCCAAAGCACGGGAGTGCAAGAGCTTCTCAAAAAGAAAGGTTGCTCGGATTGTAACCCTGAAAAACAAAATATTTCCCCCCAGCCTTGTTCTCAGAAATGGCTGAACTGTTTTGGCTGCAAATTGACCCACACACAAATTCAGCCTGAGGCAGATACGCAGCATGGAACATTCCAGCTTGAACCATTAGCATTTGGCACAGGTCTAAACAGCTGAAAACAGGGTGTTCTACTGGAAAGTGTTGGGCAACTTTAATAATAAGTGATGCCACCAGCCCAGCCTCACCTGTGACTAGTTTTAAAATCATAAGAACAGCCGTACTGGGTCAGACCATCTAGCCCAGTATCCTGTCTGCCGACAGTGGCCAATGCCAGGTGCCCCAGAGGGAGTGAACCTAACAGGTAATGATCAAGTGATCTCTCTCCTGCCATCCATCTCCATCCTCTGACAAACAGAGGCTAGGGACACCCTTCCTTTACCCATCCTGGCTAATAGCCATTAACGATTTAACCTCCATGAATTTATCTAGTTCTCTTTTAAACACTGTTATAGTCCTAGCCTTCACAACCTCCTCAGGCAAGGAGTTCCACAGGTTGACTGTGTGCTGTTTGAAGAAGAACTTCCTTTTATTTGTTTTAAACCTGCTGCCCATTAATTTCATTTGGTGGCCCCTAGTTCTTCTATTATGGGAACAAGTAAATAACTTTTCCTTATTCACTTTCTCCACATCACTCATGATTTTATAGACCTCTGTCATATCCCCCCTTAGTCTCCTCTTTTCCAAGATGAAAAGTCCTAGCCTCTTTAATCTCTCCTCATATGGGACCTGTTCCAAACCCCTAATCATTTTAATTGCCCTTCTCTGAACCTTTTCTAGTGCCAGTATATCTTTTTTGAGATGAGGAGATCACATCTGTACGCAGTATTCAAGATGTGGGCATACCATGGATTTGTATAAGGGCAATAAGATATTCTCCGTCTTATTCTCTATCCCCTTTTTAATGATCTTGTTTGCTTTTTTGACTGCTGCTTCACACTGCATGGACGACTTCAGAGAACTATCCACAATGCCTCCAAGATCTCTTTCCTGATTCGTTGTAGTTAAATTAGCCCATCAACGCTTAAATTCTGCAGCAATCAGGGATGTTTTCAGCTCTCACCTAAAATTGCTGAGTCTGCAATAGTCCTGTCTCTGTATTTCCTTCCAGTGTCTTTGATAACTGCCAAACACGGAAGCGGAGCAGGACCCCGTTGTGCTAGGCGCTGTACTAACATAGTACAAAGATGGGGCCCTGCCCCAAAAATATTTTCTATCTTTTCCAGTGTAAATGCCATATTCTCCAAGATCTGTTGTACTTCATCTCCTGAGAAACCGGCCATCTCCATCGAGCTGGGCCTCGTCGCCATAGCTTCAGGCTTCAGTTGTGAATGAGAAATGTTTTGGTCTGTTTGCATGCCAGTAAGGTCTGTAGGCCCCGGCTGGGGGTCATGGCCCCATTGTGTTAGGCACGTACACACACTGAACAGGACAGTCTGCCCCAGAGAGTTTACAGTGTACATAATGAGGCTGTTGTTATGCCACTGGATGAAGTGAATGTCTGTGTTCTCTCTGTTCTGGCAGACGAGCAGCAGTGTGGTGAGGAAGGTCCTGCAAACCTCGATCTTCCTAGCCTGTTACCAGGAGACTGGGAAGAGCTTTTCTCCAGTCCTGAGGAGGAATTGACGAAGGAGAGCCAGACCAGCTCAGCGATGCTGCAGAGAAACCCTCCCGGGAGTGGGCTGAGGCGATCTGCTCGCCGTGGAAGAGATTTAATGAAAAATGTCTCTGAGGAAGCACACGCAGCAGAGGGGCCGTACATATGCTGCGAGTGTGGGGAAAGCTTCCTAGACAAACAGCTTTTTGCCACACATCAGAGAATCCATGCATCAGGGGGAGCCTGCACTTCTCTGGAGCACGGAGAAAACGTTAAACAGAAACCCAAAATCACAACTCCTCCAAGAACCCAGGTGCCCGTCCGTTCAAAACCCCCTAAGCGTCCTGAGCCAGAGAAGAGCTCCAATCTCAAATACGGCTTCGTAAAACACCAGGCAAACCATATGGTGGAGAGGCCCTATACGTGCACTCAGTGCAGGGAGAGCTTCAGTCTGGAGGTGAGTCTTATCTTACACCAGAAACTTCACACGGGGAAGGGCGATGGGCCCCTGACGTGTACGTATTGCGGCAAGGACTTCCGGGACCTCTCCAAGGCGATCCGACATCAGCGGATCCACACGGGAGAGCGCCCGTATCAGTGTACGGAATGCGGGAAGAGCTTCATCCGCAGGGATCATCTCCTGAAGCACTGGCGGGTCCACACGGGGGAGACGCCATACCAGTGCCCCGTCTGTGGGAAGAACTTCCGCTACAAGGAGTCGCTGAACTGCCACCAGAAAATTCACACGCGGAACCCCCAGCCCCTGGAGGGCTCACAGCAGCTGGAGACAGGAACCCAGACCACCCTCCTCGGTGTGAAAAAAGAAAATAAACAGTAGCTCCCCCCTGGGTGGGGACTGAGGGGCTGTTGCATTTAAAATGGAAGAAAGCATGTGAGGTGCGGCACAACGGCGAATGAATGGAAGCCACGGCCTGTTCTTGTGGCCGTGCTACAAAGCTTTGCTTCACTGACGTTTAAATGGAGTTCCTCTTAATAACTAGTGGGGTGAAATCCACCCCATGCAGGGGGCCAACAGGAGGCCTATGCACCACTTTAACCCTGTGGGGGTTGCATGGGACTTAATAGGCCTTGTGGACTTCACCCTTAGAGAATAAATGAGCTATTCCCTGGGTTGCCAGCAGGGGTCAGCATTTAGCAGGTGTTTCCTCACCTACCCGGTTTCTGGTGCATATTTATAGGAGTGATATGAATTTTCAAGGTCATTGTTTCCCCCCACCATTCCCAGCCAGCAGGCCAGTGGATCTAGTAGAAGAGAAGAAGTTGGCTGGGAAGGTGATGCAGGGGTGGGGAAAGGGACACACAAAAAAACCCCAAGCAGGAAGAAGTGGATGCAGAACCGGTCCTGGAATGGGAAGCTAGAGGGGACTGGAGCAGAGGGGACTGGTGGGAGGCAGATGGACATGGCTGTTGGGTGGGAGAGTAACTCCAGAGGAGGATGTGACTGCGGAGATACTCTATTCTCATTCCACCCCCAAGGGGGTGAAATTCCGTACCAAGCAGGCTCTAGACTCTCTTTTGGACTTGGCCCAATGGAAAGCTGCCTGTGATTCATTCATATGAACTTCCACTGAAGGTAATTTTACTGGTCACAAGGGAAGTGACACAAGAGAGAGCAACTTCTGCTAAACCCTGGAAGGGGTTGTTTTAGCTAATGATATATCAGAACTAGAATATTATTCTAAGATACAATAAAACATGTGGCACTATACTTCACAGTTGATCTAAGCTATTTAAATGTATGAAATAACTGACCCAAGTTTTTCAGACTTTTGTAAATATTGGTTGAATTATATAAGATAAGTGTTGTTAAGGAGTGACTGTAACTAGATGTCTCTTTCTCTGTGTAATGTCAGCTGCTGGTTTGTGGTTGTGTTTTTGTAATACCTTTTTTGCAAAATCGGTCAATACAGTGTTTCCATTCTGAAGCCCTTGTCCGGCAAATCAGTGGCTGGAGCTCTGTCCTCCTTCCTTGCCAGTCTCATCCTCTCCCCGCTGTATAGTTTGTTCTCCCTTTGCCCCATTCCCATGCCTGACGCTCGCTTGGCTGTACCTGTTAAGAGTTGCAAGTTTTCGTAGCACTTTCCTAGCAACCGAATTAGTTTGTCAATTGCATGGTCTGAACTAGCTCCTGCTTGTAGTCAATGAGAACAATATTGTCAAGGCCAAGCATTGAAAAATCATGTCACACCCCCCCCCCCCCCAAATCATGAGATTGGTTTCAACATCCTGAGGTGTTAAACGTAATAAACGATGGAGATGTGTGTGTGTTTTCAAAGCTCTTCATGACCATTAGAACCTTCCTTGTATTCCTAAGTGACAGCGGTGAGGGGCAGGTCAGCCCAGGGCTCAGAAAGTGGGTGTTAAGAAAAACACCAGGGCCTGCGAGATGACAGCAACAAGAATCCTCCACTGCTGCTAGTCCGTGTCCCCGAAGGTGAAGCAGAGACAATCCCCTGTCAGTCAGAAAGGGACCCCCCCACCCCGGGGTTCCCATGGCAAGGGTGCTGTGCGGGTTCTGGGCTCCCCCCTGCATACAGCACTGCCGCCATCTGGTTCTGTATGGCGCTAAGGGGCGGCTGTGGGGCCAGTGCTGTATGGGGGGGCTCCAGCCGCTCCTGGCTCAGGGGATGTTGGTACCTCGGAGATGTTTGAGTGGGAGCTTGAGCGTCGCTGGGTGTCAGACTGCAGCAGGGGATTGGCATCCGAGCGAACTCCGGCTGCTGGGGCCCCGCACCTGCTGTCCGCCCCCCGCGCCCGGCCTGGCACGGTAGGGAGCTGACGGCGGGAGCGGCCTTGCAGCCGGCCCGGGGAGCTGCGGGGACCTGCCCCGGCCCGAGCTCCAGGCGGCTGAAGCGGGTTCGCTCAGTCCGGCCCGAGCGACCAACGCGCGGGGCCGGGACAGATCCGGACCCGCAGAGCCTCCGACAAGGCCCCGAGATGGGGATGCCCGGCGCCGTGATCCCCCCGCCGGCAGGGGCCGCTGCCGCCCCGCTCCTCCCCGCCGCTCCCGGGCCCCGGCAGCCAGGCCGCGGCTCCCCCCGGCGGCGCTCGCTCTGCTCCGCCCGGCAGCGGGGCCGGCCCGTGGCGAGGCGAGGCGAGGCGGCGCCGGGACTTTGCCCAGCCCGGAGCGGGAGCGGAGCTCGGGTTCGGGTCCGGATCCGGATCCCGCCGCCCGGCCAGCAGCGCTCCTCGGGCCGCCCCGGGCCGCGGTGAGGGGCGAGCTCCGGGCCGGGACAAAGGGCCATGGCCGAGCGGGCCGCTGCCCAGGTAAGGGCCGGGGCCGGGGCTTTGCTGCTCGGCAGCGCGGTGGGCAGCGTGGCCCGCCCCGGTTCCTGCCGCCGGGCCGCAGGCGCTGGGGAGTGGCCCGGGACGGGGCTTGGCCCTGCCGGGGGCGGGGAGCAAGTGGCGGCCAATGATACCGAGACCGGGTCCGGGGGCAGGTTAAACTGGGGCATCTGCTCCGCCTGCCAGCCCCGGAGCTTCGCCCTTTGTCATCGCTGGGAGCCCCCCGGGGCAAGGGGGGAGTCCCGGTCCGGGGCGCCCAGACCGCGGGGCCCGGGGGTCGCTAACGGCACAGGACCCAAGGGCACCGCTTCCTTCCCCTGCACCCTGGGGACAGAGCGGGGATTTTCTCACCCTTCCCTTCGGCCCGAACACGTGTTTGGGGACCGGACCGGATGCTGCCCGAGGAGGCGTCGGGTAATGCTGCGTCCAGACGGCGCCGCCGGGCGCCTTTGCTCCCCCTTCCCCCCAATGCTTTTATAAAGGCAGCCGGAGCAGAGAGTCTGCTTTGCTCCTCTGAGCACCTTAGTCGATTGTATTGACCCGCTAGCTAAAAACGTCCCAGCTCCGCCCTGGATACACTAGGTTCGCTCTGACTAGAGCCCTCCACAATGCTGGATCTGCTGGGCCTGGGAAGGTGGAAATGTTCCTGTTCTTACTTTGCTGGGTCTGCAGGGTGGTTACAAATACTCAGCTGGTCTGTCAAGTGGGTGGGGGCGCTTTAGACAGGGGGACTGAAACTTTTTCATGGTGTAGCCCACATCTTTAATAAGGTGTGTGTCTTGCGGACATCCCCCCCCTTCCTCCCACTGGCTGTCACCCAGCCCATCTCCTGCTGGTTTGCACGACTTCCCTGTGGCAACAGCAGCAATTCCTTGCATGCAGAAATGATCTCAGGAAAGTGTTTCGCTGTTTGTAATTGTTCTGCTGGTGGCAGCGGTCCCTGTGGGTGGCTCCTGGTTCCTTTCCAGCAACTACTATTAAAGGCAGTTGGGCTTGGCTCCACCTTGTTCCCTGCTCTTTCTACAAGTCATCAAGTTCTTCCTTCCAGTGAAGAGCCTACGTACCTGTAGAAGGGAGAAGGTGGAGCTCACGCTGTGTGACCTGTCAGCTCTCCACAGATCAGCCGTAGTTTGAGAACCTGCTGACGTAGCATCTGGGTTGTGTTTGCAGGGCTAGTGTGGTGTCTTTGTACCATTTTTTTCTTTCCACACTGGGCAAAATTGTGCTGAAAATCACAGACACAAACATGGAGTCCGAGGGCCCTGTTTGCTGCAGAATCAGATTTCAAAGCAGAAATGTGCCTGGTAGTTGATCTTTCAACCTTAGCTTCTGGAATCTCGTTACTTTTGAGTGCTTAATTTCTCCACCTGCCCTTTGCAGAACATCATGCTTGTACTCTAGGAGGTTTTGTGTGTGCATTCAGTAAGAAGAAAAATTGGGTCCGACAAAGCATCGAGCAGTCTGGGAGCGGCTGGTGGTCGTTGGTGGCGATTCTGGTA